ATTTTACATTATAAAATATTTTTACTAAAGTAAAAATAAAGAAGAAATAATCTTGTACAAGTATATTTTTTATAAAATAGTGTAAAGTAATATTAAGAGATGATAATATACATTTATTTATAAAAAGATCTAATCCACAAATGAGATATAGCATAGACAAAACATTTAATAGATCTTTATATTACATGATTTTCGGGATTCTATGATTTTGTATCATTTCCTATATTATAGATTCATCTTAGAATGAAATTACAATACTGATAGTAGTCGTAATTAAAACTATTGTGAAAATTTTAGGATAGATATTTAGAAAATAAAAATTGATTTAGTAAATATAGTATCTTCAAAATCCAAGAGTATATTAAAAATATACATTATACCAAAAGTCTTTTGTTGATTTTATAAAAGGATATGATATTCTTGAACATTATGTAATATTTTTACAGATGTTGAAATTGAATTAAAATTTAAACAAGAAATAACATCTAAAAGATGTAACATTTTATATCACAAGTTCATAAAGAAATAATATTTTTGCTTTTAAAAAAATAATATTTTCTAAAATTTGATCATTGTTAGACAGTAAGATTTACTAAATCTTATTTCTTCTATTTTTACACAAATTTCGTGTTGATCGGTAACATTGGAAGTGAACTATAAATGGCAAGGGAAGTTATGAGCTTGTATGTAGACTGAATACAAAAATGAATTGGATGTTAAGTCTATCTTACATCTTATTTATGCTTATGCTATTATTATCAATGGTGGAATTATAAGAAAAATGAACATTAATTCGTAATACTGACAAAGAACATTGTAGAAATTAAATGTGTAATTTAGTGACGTGTTATTTTTAAATGAATTTCATTATTTTTATTCTGAGATATTAAAAAAAATTAGTGTCAGTAATTTGTGGTTTATCTAATGTCAATATTTATTAAAAATTCAGTGATAGTGACAGTTGACGAAGAGCTAAGTTATTGCGTAGGTGGTTACAACTGCACTTGGCCTGTCTCATTACATTTATATTAATAAAGAGTAAAACTGTCAGTGGGAAATTGTGTAATTTATTAGTAAGTTCGAAATACGTCAAAGTAGTTTTTCAGTTTCTTAAAGTTTATAATGTTTATTATGTTATACTTAAGTTTATAAAGTAAATTTGTAAATATTTATGGATTAATTTTACGGTACGTAATAATAGATATTTATTTAATTTCATTTGTGATTTATAATTTCTGTTATGATATTTTTTGTTTATGAAACTTAAACTTCTATTTTTTCGTACGAAATTTTTTATTAAACTACATTCTTTGTATAATGCAAGAGTAGTATATATAAATGCTATTTTATTGTTTATAACTATATGTATATATATCTTTATAATATCTTATCATGCTATTAATGCTCATAGATTTATTTTGTATTCTTATATTGCCTTATCTACTATCTTGTTAATACTTTAAAGATATTTTAATATTTATTTATTATATTTAATAGATTTCTCTTACGACTGTGTATAAGCAGTCAATTTTATATATAGTGATCATGGACCAAATGATTGCTTTGAGTACACGAAATCCATTGACTTTATTAGTAAAGTTTGGGATGATGGCCTGGAATGATACTTGTGGTAATGAAAATTGTTCTGGGCATGGAGAATGTCATAATGGTACCTGCTTATGTGAGGTAATATTTCATAATTAAGCAAAAATTATAGTAATATTTAATTTGTTTTCTATATTTTTAAATATAATTTTCCACTTCTTTTCATAGATTCAGTTTGATGGATTAGAATGTCATGTCCCAAATTTAAGTTACTACATTGCATTCGCAACCATATTCTTTACACTGGCATTTGTGTGTCTAATACAACTTATTATGTGTATCATCGCAGAATGGCAGAAAATGAAAGCACCATCTTTTCTTAGAGCTTGTAGAATCACAACACAAAAAGTTTTGTATTTTATTGTATTTCTTGCATCATTAATAAGAGGGGCATATTTTACATCTCCGGTAAATATTACATAAAAAGTATTATTAAAATTTTCCTTTTTGAATATTCACAGAATATTAATTTTATTTTTTGATAGACTGCATTTAAAGAAGGATGGTCTCGAAGTTTATTATCTGCATATTATCCACTTGTTTTAAGTGGATCCTCTTTAATTGTTTGTTTTTGGGCTGAAGTGTTCCATTTAAGAAATATGTCATGGGACAAACCACAGTTTCTTTCAAAATCATTTATAGGTTTTGCAGTGTTTAATATGGTAACATATTCTTTGCTTCTAGCAGAATTTATTATCACTCAAATATATTCTCAAGAAGATCAGGTAAATTTAATAAAAGCATATATAATATAATTCAATCATTTGTATTGTCTACATAATATTGATCTATTGATATAAATCAACCATTTCTAGAGCTTTTATACCCATGTTTTTAATGGTTGTTATGCAGTTCTCTTGTTTATTGTTGTGATCTTTTTCTTAATTTATGGAGTAGAGGTATATTTTAAAGTAAGTTAATTTAAATTACTATTATAAATAATGTAAAAACTATTTAATAAATGTATCTTGGATTAAAACAATTATTTTTTAGATTCGAGGTGGGTTTTTAAATGATTATCATAATAATACTATTCTGAATAAACGTACAGTCTCTGAGTCAAAAGTTAATGCTGAAGAACAAGTTACTGCAAAATTGTTTGATCCTGTTCCAACTTCATCACAGTTATCTCAAGTACAAGAACAAATAAATGTTTCTCAGTTACATCAATCTCGTGTAGGATTATTGTCACAAGCTTTCATGTTATTTATTATTGTTGGATTTTTGTGCAGTGAAACACTTAGTGAATTCTGGAAAGCAAAGTAAATTTAAAATTAATATTCTAATTAAGTATAACTACACTTCTCATACTTAACAATTATTTTTTTTCTTAATATTACCTATTAATAAATAATATAGAGTACAGTTAATAAATATAATAATATAAAAATAAAATACATTAATATGAAACTCTAAAAACATATTATTTTTAATTCATTAATATTTTTATTAATACATAAATACAATTATATTTTCATTTTATTTTAGTCCAGAACAATTGTGGATTTTAAATCCAAAACGTCTTTTGAAGAGATTAGATCATTCTAAATATATAAAAGAAATAGAATTACAAGATAAAAGTGGCGAGCAAGACGCTGCACTTGTTTCGGATAGAACATCAATTAGCAGTAAAGATTGTTGGATTTGTTATGATAGTGAAAGGCAAGATGCTGGCCCATTAATACAACCATGTCAATGTAGAGGTGATGTGAGTGCAGTCCACCATAATTGTTTACGCCGGTGGTTGGTCGAGGTAAAATATTATTTTCTTTTTATTCAGAATATTCTTATATTTAACATGTTATCATTGTGCATTTCAGAGTTCTATAAATGCTGATAGTCTTACTTGCAAAGTATGTGGTACAAAGTACAATGTTGAACATGCAAGTAGATTGGATTGGCAAAATAGTATAACTTCACGTCATTGTTTGCAAACTATTGCAATTGTCACAACAATGTGTGGATCATCAGCTGCCGCTTGGACGCTCATTCAATTAGTAGAAGGTCCAATTATTAGAATGCTCGCAGCTGGTACTGCATTATTGGTCATGTATGTTTGTATAAGGTAAATTATTATTAATTGCCGATTTTTACGTTTATAATATAGATTATCCTTACATATTATATTTATTACAAAATTTATTTTTAGGTTTTTAAGTTTAAACACAGTAGTGGCATATCAACGTGCTAAAATTTCATCGCTAAATATTATTAGTTCTGATAATAATGGAAATGCACATGTTTCTACTATTAGTCATACAGTTTGTGTAGACTTAGCAAAATCTGAAGCAGCCACAATATAATCAATATTTGACTGTTAACTTATACGAAATTTATTTCGTTTTTATCTGTAAAAAAAAGTTGTACGAAATTAGAAAAAGATTTTTGCAGCTACATAAATGTAAAGAATTTTCAGAGTTATATATGTCAGATACAAAATAATTTTCTACAGTTCTTTATGTAACTTTTAAAGTTAATGTTGGTAGTTATGTAACGAATTGTGGGAAACGTATCTTGCAATTTTGCAATAATTTACTAATATTTTTACAATTAGATTCTTAAATCTTTTTATGTTTTTTGACTAGTCTGTTAATAAGTTACCATAAGCTTAAAAAAATCTTGTTTTCCATTTTTATTTTTGGTAACAGACAATATTTTTATTATTCAAAAGAATATTGTTACCATGGAACTGAAAAAAAAAACGAGTTTGAGAACAGACAGCATTCTTTTGCGTATGTGCCGACAATTATGAAAGTGGTTTAAGTAAAAAGATTGAAGGAAATGATTTTATCATTTGAAGCTTTTAATATTTCGAAACAAACCATATATAATTTAAATCACTTTCATAATCGCCGGTACATATATTACTTAAGCAAAAAGTTATAAATATACAGTTTTAAAGCTAAAATTTGTAAGTTGCGATACAAAAAAACGTTAAAAAAATTAAACAAATGAAAATAAATATTATTTTAAAGAATGAAATGTTACCGGCATAAAAATAATGAGTACATATATAGTTTTGTATCATTTTTGGAACTATTATGATTTCATAGATATAAAAATAAAATTACTTTTATTACAGTGCTACATGTCTATATTGGTTCCATGTTTATTATGGAATATTGTAGAAAAACATATGCGATGATATATGATAGATTGTTAAAATTAGTTTCTGATATAATCATGCAATTTGTGTACGTCAAATTCGTACTACATTTATAGCTTTATGGAATTAGAAATATTGTGAATAATGATATATATTTTTTAAATAACTCATTGACATGTAACATTTTTTTAGTAGATAAGAATTTTTTCTGCGGTATAAGAATTTTATGTTTGAAAATACTCATATTTCATATGCCTCTTAGTTTTATAGAATGTACATAGTAATGTAATTGAAAAGTGATATGTAATTTCTCTTTTTGAAAGAGAATATATTATGTAATATTGTAATACTAACAAATATTCTTTGCTGCATTTTTTTGTAGAAGTACAAAAACTAGTTTTAATAACTTATTATTATAAAACCATCATTTATATATTAGTGTCTACTAACAACTATGAAAGGATATATTATAAGCGTTAATGCTTAAGCATCCCTTATTTAGTAATGCTAATAGGAATGTCTGCTTAATATAAAGTGATAACTTAACATGTCATTCTTATTGTCATATTTATTTTTTTATTATAAATTGGCTGATATAACAAATTTATATTAAAAACATAAATTGCTTGTTTAAATAGCTACATATGATAGCCTATATTATAAATATGTTTGAATTTACCTTAAATAATTTATTGTTGAAAATTCTGAAACTCCAAAATTTTATTTCCTTTGCCCTGCGGATGAAACTTAAACATACTGTTTATTAACATATAATTTGATACAACTAACTTATGATATCCTTGTAGAAGTAAATAAATATGTATTAACATCATTGTTAACATATTTAGGTAGGAAAATATAATAAGCGCGAAGATATAACAGTGTATGATGTCCAAGTTGATTCCTAAATAAAAAGTTAAAACAAAATTACATTATTCATCGTTAATTTTATTGTTATGTTTACAAAGACAATACTTAACAATGTTATGTACCAAACTAAAATACTGATTATTAAAAGATAAAATAAATTTTTGATGAATGAATGTGGAAGAGCAGATTACAATGAAGTGTCTGATTTTAGGAATGATTCTGAGTACCTTTTATTATTACTGTATCAGTTTTTAGATAATTATTTAGGTACGTATAAGAAATACATTTTACCAATTAAATTGAATATTTAATATAATAAGTAAATGTAATTATAGATATACAGATATAACAGAACTTAAAATATCGTTTAATATGAACTACTAATTTTATATTTATATTTTTTTTCGACATTAGATCTGCTCTGTGCAATAATATTACCGGTTGCCATGTGTAAGTGTAAATGTTTGCGCCAGGTTACTTCTTGAGATGGAGGTTTTGTATATTGGTGGATAAATTTTAAATGCAGCGTTTTTTTGTTCAACCTACGCTGAAACACAGTAAATATACTATAAAACATATTATTTGGAAATAATTAGTTTTATTCAAGTTTTCCAAAATTTTGTTCAAAAATAGTGTTTCATTGGATAAATTTTACCTGCGATGCCTGCGATTGCTTCCGAAGCAAAATATTTTACGTCCACGTCACTGTCGGTATTGAGCTTATCAAGTACAGGTTTTACATGAGCTTGTATTGCACAAGGCTCAAGGTAAGGGCCGATTTTTTGAAGGGTTTTAGCAACATTAAATCGTACATTAGCAACATTATCAGTGGCCATTCCTAAGACAGTTGGAAGCATTACTCTTGTTGTTATTTCTGGGCCACATACTTCCGCTAAAACCTATGAGAAAAAAATAATAGAAAATACAAGAATAAAATTACTGAAATTAAAGTATAAACTACACAAATAATGCAATAATTTACACACATTGATAGAAAATAGGCATGTCATTCTATGAAGATAGTTTTGATCCCTTGACATTGCTAAAACTTTAGGTATTACAGTATTCTGTGCCCAATCAGCGCCAAATTTCTCTACCAGTTTTTTCAAATTTAATGTTGCTGCTTCCCTTATGGCATAAACATGATCTACTAACCAAGTCATACATAAGGAATTTAATTTTTCATCAAAGAACTCTACACCCAGTTGTCCAGCTAATAATGGCATGTATCTAGAATGTATAAGCAAATATACATGTTTATTTTGTATTACAAATTAACTTTTTCACTTCAATAATATTTAATATCAATATTTAAACATTTAACATGTAGTTGAGTATAATACATTATAAAAAATACTTACTCTATGATAGCATATCTTACACGCCATTTTGAATCTTCAGCTAATTCTATTATAGCTGGTAAAAGAGATTGTGAAAGTTGTTGTATACCAATAACTTCATTAACACATTCTAAATTACTGATAATGTTTAAACGAACTTCTGCACAATCATCTCTGAGTTGTGACAAAAATAATGGTAATAAATGTTCGATTGTACTGTGAAATTTATTATTATTATTATTCTTTAACTTCAAATATATTTCTATAATTGTGTTGTATAAATATATGTTTACTTACTTATGTTTCCCAAGTATTGGACTAAGACCCATTATAACACTTGCTAAAGCTGATTTTACATGTTGGTTTGGATCTGATACAAGTTCTTTGACTATTGGTAATATTTGTGTCATAATAATAGACTCTTGATTAAATTTGTCGAGATTTTGACAAAAATCGCGAACTTTATCAGCTGCTGCAGCTCGTACTTCAGCTTCTGCATCTTTTAAAAGTACTTGAAATGCTGGTACAAGATCTGTTTTTGTAATTTCTAGACCTACAGCTTTCTGAAGCTAAAAATAGAAATTAAAATTGTTTAATATTATTTAAATAACTGTTAAAAAGAAGTCAAAAATACATGGAAAAAAGCTCACTTCTGTAAATTTATCTGCCACCATATAACGTACACGCCATGACTGATCACTTGCACATTGTCTAAGTGTGGGCATAACTAATTGTTCTACATCTTCTTGTGGTAGCAGGGCCGCAATGCTAACACAAGTTTCAATTGCCAAAAGACGTACTGAATCCTATAAAATATAATACAAGAATAATATGAATATTTTAGAGAAAATTAAGTAATTTATTATATTTTATCTTACCTGTTCATCTTGAGCCAAAATGACAAACATTGGAATTAAATCTATCTTTACATATTCAATTTCCATAACCTTTGCAAATTCGCCTAAATGTGAAGTAGCAGATCGGCGTACCATTGGAGTATCATCCTGACATAAATTACGAAAATGGTTTCGTAAACATGCTATAAAAATAAGAAAACCAAATTTATATTTATATTAAAACTTTTTATACTTTTTTAAACTTTTAATCCAAACTTTCATTTTCTACCTTTAACTGTTGGATTAACACGTGGATAACAAACACTAAATAAACCACATGCTGATGTTCTTGATGTGAACCAATCTCCTATTGCCAAGCGATGTATCAAAGGAATAAAGTGCTCTTCCAAATCTTGTGTGCTATGTTGTGCAACAACAGTTCTTAAAGACTCCACTGCTTTATCTCGAACTACAGTTTCTTCAACTGTTGCCAAACATTCTAAAGGTTTCTGTATTAAAGTAAATTTTCATTAAAAGTTCTACTAATAATAAATTTTTTCTTAAATATTATCTGAAATATCCAAAGTGTCTTATGTATTAAATTAAATATTAGTTTTCTTATGATTAGTTTTCTTTGTTTTCATGATACAGTGATAAAAATAACAATATACTAGTAATAATTTTTTATTTTGAATGATATATATATATATATATATATACATCTAATTATAT